ATGTATAATTAGTACATATTGTAAAGAGTGCAGTGAAGAAAAATAAGAAGATGCTATTGGAGGACAGTGTTGGTGGTGTTGGGAGCTGATTGAGAGCAGGGCCAGGGAAGTTTTCTCAGAAGTGACAGTTGAGCTGGGACTAAAAGCGTGAGGAGGTGGCAGGAGGAAGCGCGGGGCAAGTCTTCCAGGTTGAGGGAGCAGAGTGTGCAAATGAGTACAAGTGTGCAAATGTCTTACAGCCGGAGAACATGACCGACCTGGAGGAAGGACAGTGTGACCACTGGGTCCTGAGCGGGGAGAGATGGGGGACGTGGTCAGAGGCCAGGCTGGGTAAACCTGCTAAGGAATTAAAATTTTATTAGAACAACGGGAATGTATTACCTCATTTAAAAAAAGCGGGGGCGGGGGGGGATGATATGATCCCAGTTCCCTCTTAAAAAGAGCACAATGACTGCTTTGCAGGGCAGAGAGGGACAGATGTGCCCCCAAGGAGATGGTTTTGGGGAGAGCTGTATCGCATTGCATGGTGTCATCCGGGTGAGAGATGCTGGCGGGCCGTGATAGCGAGCATGGAGAGGAGAGCTGGATTTGAGAAATGTGAATCATCTCTCCAGGTGTTTCTTGGTATCCCTCGCCTAAAACATTTCTTTCACATGTGGGTGTACGTACTCATCTCTTTGAGATACTTGGGAAAAGCACCGCCTAGGCATGGGAGATGACCCAAGCTGCAAAGGCTGTCAATACCCTCACGCAATCTTCCACCCCCGAATTCTCTAAAAACATGGAACATGCACTAGTCATCGCTCCATTCAACTGATGTTTGTTGAATGCCCGTTATAGATAAGACATTTTACTAGCTATTGTGAGGTTACTGTTCTATCTAAAAACAAAGTAATGCAAGATTAGTGATGAAACTTTAGAACATGAGAAAAGTATAAAAAAGAAAAAATTCTTCATTAAGTTACCACCCACTATTAACGTTTTGAACTATTTATTTCATTCTATTTCCAGGCTTTTTTTTCCATTTTCATATGCATGTATACATTTATACATTTATATATATATAAACTGGGATCATACCATAGTTTTACATCCTCCATTAAACTTTATTGTCAGATATCACGCATATAAAAATGCACGTGAGAAATTCAAAGGATAAGGAAATGTGCACTCAATCAATCACTAGCCAGGTTAAGAAGAAATGATACTATTTTCCCCCTCACATGCTCCTCCCTCTATCCCTTAAAGATCCCTTTTAAAAGAAATTCTTGTTCATCTATTTTACTATTCCATTTGCAGCAGGAGAGAAATATGCTTGCTCTATCCAATCTGACACAGACACTGGAAGATGTCTTCAAAAGGATTTTTATTACTTACATGGACAATTGGCGCAGGAACACGACAGCTGAGCAAGAGGCCCTGCAGGCCAAAGTCGACGCCGAGAACTTCTACTACGTCATCTTGTACCTTATGGTGATGATCGGAATGTTCTCGTTCATCATCGTCGCCATCCTGGTGAGCACGGTGAAGTCCAAGAGACAAGAACACTCCAATGACCCCTACCACGAGTACATTGTGGACGACTGGCGGGAGAAGTACAAGAGTCAAATTCTGAATCTAGAAGAATCCAAGGCCACCATCCACGAGAACATTGGCGCGGCAGGGTTATCTCCTTGATAAGCGAGAAAGACATAAAGCCAACCTCTGACATCCCAGTATGAAGAGATGCCAGTGCCGTGAGCAAATCCATATTGTCACTGCTTAAGAGACAGTAAGTTCCTCGCTCTCTGCTGAGAATTTTCATGGAGATCATGTGGTTGGTCAACTAAAACAAGTGACACTTCAATCTGAGTGATTTATGCTTGCTCATCGGAGCAATATTTTATGCTGAAGGCTTCTTTTATTTTCTGTGCAATGTAGATGTCATTTTATTCAATATCAATAGTGAAAATATAGCCAAATTTGAAGTGACGGTGGCAGTCAGGGTAGAGAGGGATTTAAAAAGCACTAAATCTTCTTTCTTATGAAACATTATTTTGTATGTGACTAAATTTATAAATCACCCAGATGCATAACTCAGAAGCTGAGGTTCAAAATCTATCCTTTGCTCACTAGACTGACAGGTGCTTTTATTGATTGATTCGTGAATATAGAGTCTAAAGTGACAATGAACAGAACAGCAGGATTACCTTATGTATATTGTTTTCCTGGCATTTAACTTATTTGGAAGTCTGAAGACAGAACAAACATTTCACAGGGGCAACGGGTCTACACCAGAGAAGTAGAATCTACCCAGTGCAAACATTTTTAGATGAGATTGGGCACGTTCAGGGCGGTATGGCTGTAGAGAGTGCAAACATTTTTAAATGAGCATTTAAAGTTTTATAGAAAACTAACTTTTAAAAGTTCTTGTTGCTACAGAAAAAAATAATAAAAAGTTATAACATTGCTTTATAAACGACTTACTCTTTTCAATTTTATTTTCTCTTTACAATTACTTAAGTTTGAAGAGACTAAAGGTACAGAAAGTGTCTGAATTGCTGATGTCTGTTGAAAATCTAGACAGTAATTGCTTAATAATTTGCACCACGGAGTTCACAATATCACAGAATGTCAGGTCTGGAAGGCACCTTGGAGATCATGACCATTTATGACCTTGTCAGACCATTTCATTTATAGATAACGAATCTGCAGTCCACAGATTAGGTGACTTCATTGATTAGTTTAATAAGCAACATTTAACATCTATGCTTTGGGTGACTGGCCTAGACCTGAGTTGTACAGGGTTTTCCTGAGCCGGAGAAACCCACTCAGCAGAGAGGAAGTCGGATATGTAAACATCAAGATGCTGTACTGTGACAAGGTTAGAACAGAGATCAACACAAAATGGGCAGAGCCCGAGCAGGGACAGGAGGGCAGGCCTAACTCAGGTCACAGTCTCCTCTCTCAGAGGAGCTGAGAGTAAGAAGTCGGCGGCAAGAAAGATGTACGAGGATGTGGCTTCATGCCTCCTAGTTTATCCTTTTCTCCTCCCCCATCTCCCCATCTATTCAGCCCAAGCCCAGCAATTGTGAGCAGGGCCTCAAGTCTCAGGGCGCTAAGACAAAATTGAAAAAAGGAGCCCTTCTTCACCGCATGCTTGTAGGATGTCTTACATCTACTACAAGGTTTACCTCTTTAGCGTGAGATATATACAAGGTGTCTATTTCCTAATAACAAGCATGAACTTATGCTAAGAGAGGCATTGAATACAATGTTAGGGAAAGCCATTCATATTCTAAGAGCAGATGTAGCAAGAGGGGCTTCTTTCCTCAGATCAAACACTCGGAAATGCTGCTGCACGCATAATATTCATCCCAATGTGCCCAGAGCAGCGATCCAGGCTACAAAATCTGTGCCTCGTGTCTGCATCCAGACAGGGAGCCAAGGTTTCTACCAGGTGACAAAGACTATCTCCTTGACCAATGGCTGGTCAGGCTCCTCGGAGACCTCAAGAAGCCTTCTTCTCAACTAGGACTCATTCTTGGCCTTATAAACACTGCAGGCTCTTGGCACAAAGTATTTCATCCTCCTCCCCACGCTAAGAGACTTAAATAAATACTAGCATCGTTTCTCACAACTCAAAGCTGCATCCCTAAGATGACTCCTCCAGACCCCTTTAAAGTGTTTGCTCAGCTTGCCAGGGGAATTTACGATTTGTTCCAGCCAAAACCTGGTGACAGGCAACTCAGCTCCCTGAATCCCCTCTCAGAGCAGTTACTTTAGAAAGCTTACGATTATACATCCTTTCTCTCTCCACTTTTGAGATGTAAATCTCTTACTACCTATAAATGTCTTCTCTTTGAAACACCAACATTCAAGGAAGTAAACTCACCCTAGCCTGTGGGTGCCTTGGGGCAAGCCCTGAGTGTTCTCAAACCCTGCACGCGTGTGCTAAGCGTTTGCTAAATGAAGGCATCTGGGAGCCCCGCACCTGGGCACCCTGCCGCCATCTCAAAGGAAACGGCGTGCATTTTGTCTGAGATGGGTGCTAAATTTGGAAACTTCTTCTGGGGACCCACGGATCCTCAGTGGCAGACAGCACGAGGAGCACCCGGGGAAGGCGGGATAGCGGAGGGGAAGGGGTAAGGACCCCGCGACACCTCGCCCAGATCAGACATATTCTGCATGAGACCATGCCCTGAGCCTGTACCACGGAAGACCGGCGGCTCACTCCGGCTCCGCCAATCACTACCCGGGACCTGCGCCATCACCCCACTAAGGCGGCCCGGGCCCGCTGCGCGGGCGCGCGGAGCGGTGCATTTCGGGACATGTAGTTCCCCCGCTGCATTGTGGGAGTCGTGGTTTGCGTTCCCGCCGGCGCCGGAGCTTCCGCGGCTTGGAGTTGTACGTGGGTGACGTCTGGGTCAGGGGGGATCCTCGGACTCGAATCTTGACGGTTTAGGGGGAGCTGGGGTGTCGGGCGGCCGGGCCTGTGTTCGCGCTTTCTGTCCAGGATGCCATGGCCACCGCGGCCTCCAGCTGCGGAGTGTGCCCCGCCTGGCCAGCTCGTTCAGGCACCGCGAAATCCGCGGACCCAACGCCGGGGGGCAGTGTGTTTAGGCTGGACGCAGTCGTGGCGGGGCCCAGAGTTGGTTCCGGCCAGAGGGTGGTGGTCTCTGAAGGGTTTGGGGGGACGAACGAATGTTCTGGACGCCTCGTTCTATATTAGGGTGGGGGAAGCAGTGGCCGCCGATGGCCCTCATCCTCGGGTCTGAGCGTGACAGGTGGTGCTCCTCAAGTGTCCGGGCCAGAGAGGACGTGGCCTGGCCCTCCGCTTTACCGAGGAATCGAGGCCTAGCCCCTCTGCCCCAGGGACTTTGTCCAGGAAACTCTGGCTGACCGGGACTAGGGTTCAGAGGTTGACCAAGTGATGCTCAAGGTTCACGTGGAATCCCCCTCCCCGCACCTACCCCTGCTTCAGAGGATTGAGTGAAGGCTTTAGGTGGAAGGGGTAGAGACAGGGAATGAGAACAGCTTCGCAAAGCCCGTACTAAGAACACAGCCTGATGAGTGGCTGGAATAAGCTTGGACACCAAGAGGGAGAGACCACCCTTGAGTTTGCTAGGTGTGCCAAGAAGAAAAAGTAGATTGTGGACAATACATTGTCCGTTTTGCTTTAACTGGCCTGCCCCAAATGAGCTAATAGCGTTTCTGTTTTCGAGGAGAAATCTGGCAGAGGAAGAATCAAGATATTTTTGCAGTAAAGGAAATAGAAGTATTTCTATCTAAGCCATCGTTATTTTTGAGTTCTAAGCTAAGATTGTGGATAGTTCCAGAAGTTTAAAATTTTCTGCACTTCATAGATTTTATGCTTCTCAAAATTATCCTCATCTTGTAGGCTTTTGCTTCAGCCCTCAGATACCCATTGCCTCCTGTTTCAAATATTGCATGGGGTGTACGTATGGCAGCAGAGCAGACAGCCTGCTGATAGCCTTAGCTTTCACAGTTGTACTCATTTGCTGAAGCCCTTCAGGGTGCTATAAAAAAATGTCAGAGTTGGAGCATGTAATTAAGGGAGATGGGGAAAAATTATAATTTGGAGGCAGTGGTTGGGAATGAGCTAGATCGATACGCTCTCTCATCTCCCACCCTCACTGTACCCTTCCCGCTACTTTGCAGGTTGTCTCGAAATGTTTCTTTTCTAAAGAGCTTGAATTTTATCACTCTAGGTATGACGTTGACATAGCTGCCAGTATATTTTTACAGCCAGGTTCTGTGACATCAGAGAGAACGGTGACTAGCAAATTCCAGGGTTGCAGTTCTTGGATTCTGATTTTTGAAATGAGAACACATTGGTTCGAAGAGGTTAATGACTTGCACCAGGTCACATAGCCTGCCACAGGTGCCACCAAGAATAGAGTCCAGATCTCTAGCCGTCCTGGTCCTCTGGTTGTTGCTCTTCATACCATGAGCTGTTGTCCTGCAGTGACTGCATTTTGCCCTGGATGCCACTTGTTTATGTTCTTTACCTTGGCATGTCAATTGAGGGAAGGAGAGGTATTTATCATAACAGTAATGGATACCATTTATTTAGTGCTTTCCATGTGCTGAGCATCATGCTTTACCTTCCAGTCTCTGAAGGAGACTTTACAGATGAAGCTGAGGTTTAGAGTGCCCGAGTGACTTGTCCAAGGTCATACCACTAGTAAACTTCGTACAACGGGTCCTCCAATAACAGGGTTTCATTCAAAGTCTTTTCATTATAATGTTGAGATGTCATAGGAACTTAACCCCTGTTTATATCAATTAGCCTGTGATAAATTGATTTTATTATAAGTTGCAGAACCTATTGACCACGTTAAGTGGAGCCTTAATGTACGTGTTTGCCAGAGGGCCAGGCCGTTGCATGTTCTTTTTAATTTCTTTACTCCTGTAAGCTTTTTGGACCTATTTGTTGTCCTTGACTTGGGAATCAATATCTTATATCAGTTTATTAGGTATGTAATGTGGCTTCAGAAAATTAGTGGGAAACAGCCAAACTGACCGACTATATTTGTACACAACAAATAAAGGAGTTGTAAAAATTAAACTTAACCTTAAAAATTTTGTTTTAAAACATGGCTAATTCCTGAGATTATTGGAGATTACTCAAAGTGAAAATTCTAGCAACAGGTTAAAACATGTTAGGAATATATTTCTTCAGTGCCAGTCAGAATCTGCTCTTAAAGACAAACAGGCCATTTACAGGCGGGTAATGAGCACCTTCAACCACTGTCATCACGTTTAAACAGATTTATGGTGTAAATTCCTATCTTTACCTTATCTGACTTTGAAAAAGTCCTGGAAAAAAATTTGGCTATCTTGAGCCAACTGCCAGCTTGTTTTCAAGATACCGTGACCTTGAGTAGATGAGGTATGAACTTTTTATATTTAGATACTATTATAAATGAAAAGTGTTTATAAAACATTTTCCCCAAAGTTCATTTTATTATCCTCATTCAAATAGCCTGTGAAATTTTCTGCTGCTTTTCTTAATTCTAATTTTAAGTACATTTAAAGAAAAACATCCCCATGATTTTTAAGTGTGAAGCTCTCTGCCTGCGTCAGGATAAGATTCTAGAGCCAGATCGGAGGGGTCGAATCCCATTTCCCCGCTGTGTGCCCCCAGTCCCCTCATGTAAACTATTTTCTTGTCTTCGAAGTGGAGACAATGAACTATACCCCGCAGAGCTGGTGTGAAGACTAAATGAGTTAGCCCATCAAATGCACTTCAGCCTAGCTGGGTACAATTAAGTGAAGTTATGACTAGTATGCTGTAGGTCTCCAAATTTCAGAAAAACTAGGGGTCCTGAGCCCATCTAGCTGACACCCCCTTTCTTCATTTACAGAGGGGACCCAGGTCCCAAGAAGGAAGTCACTAGAGAGTGTAGGTTCTTCATCCAGAGCTCAAGTCTTCTGTTTCTTGGGGTATGTGTGTCATAGTCTCAAAACAGTGACATAGGACGCCTCAGAGCAAACCCTGTGCTCCGGCTGTGGCCCTGCCTTATCACTTCCTGCCTCACCTTCCCCTGAGTCTCCCTCGCATTTTAGAGGGAATTCTAGATGTGAATTGCTTTCTTAGGACAAATTTTTCCCTATCATGTACTCCCTTCCCTCCAGATATTTTTTAAAAACCAAGGTTTGCTTCACACTCAGAGGACCTGAGAAACAGTCAGTCACCCACAGACCAGTTCCTGTCCAGGGCAGGAGACGGTAGAGGAACCGATTTTGGAACCAGGCTCTTACATCCCCAGATGAGCGGAGTGGAGCACGTATCCTTAGCAGCGGCACTGCCACCTCTAGGGCTGTGCTCCCGCCTCGGGCAAAGATCAGTCGAGGGGATCATTTTGCTCAACGAGAGCCACGCCTGTCTCGACCCTCTCTCAGGCCATCAGCTTCCCACCAGGCTCTGGGTCACCTTGCGGCAAACACTTAACCCTCCACTCTGCAAAGCTTGCTCTCTGATCACGTGCCCTCTCTCTTCATCAAAGAGAAGTCTTCCTAAGGTAGTCTGCTCTGGAAACCCAAGCTGACCCGTTTCTTCTCTTCCCCACCAGACCCATGAGACCTGACTTGCCAGCTTCTTCCCTCGTGTGTTTGTCTGATTGGGCCTGCGTCGACCGGGAGTGAATTCACAGTTGATCCAGCATGAACTGGAAGGTAAGAATAATTTTAACTATTTATAACTTGGGTTTTTCTTTCTCCTGATTGTAAAACTTCAGAAATAAGTAGATTAAACCAGGAATCATCATCATATTAATATTTTATTTTAAGTTAAAACATATAAGTGCACATTTATTCACCAGACTTCTGGAGGAAGGCTAGGCCTTTGGGTGGGCATCAGCTGACCTCAGGTCTGCCTCACTTTTCTGGCCAAAACCATTCCTTTTAAAGTTTTACCTACAGTTTCACATTTTCGTATCTTTAAAGTGGATTAAGATCTTATGAAGCAATCTACATGTGAAATCTTTCTAAATTTTCATGGTCGTCTTCCCTAATCTTTGACGTTTGTGTTGCCAACAAGCATTTTTTTTTTTTCCAACTCAAATTAGAAAATGCATTGAAAGCATTCAACTTAGTTTTCAGGGAAAAATCTTCTTTACGTAGCCATATCTCCTGAGTGTTGTGTTTAAATAAATTATCTACCATAACATCAAGTACAGCTCAGCTCGGCTGGGGAATAAACACGACTGACCCTGATAAAACATTAGCTCCAGCTGGTGGGAGCAGACGTTCAAGGGCAGCTGAAGAGTAGCTCGCTAGCTGCAGGCCTTCCGTGGGCTGTCGGCATCCGCCAGCTGGCCTCACGGAGCGAAAGAGCGACCTCGGCAAGTCCCTGAAGGAGGTGGGGTGAGGTGGAGGTGACTGAGAGAGCAGTGACGAACATCTGTTTTATTGTCAATACTTTGAAAAGTATGAAACCAAATAAAAATTATGCATCATCGTACCATCCAGAGAGAGCAACTATGAACAATTTTTTTTTTTTACACGTATATAAGTATAGTGTGATTATTTTCAGATTTAGGATCACGTGTGTAGTTTTTCAATGGTACGCATTTCCTTGTTCAGAACATCCCCTGGGTTTCTGTTGCAAGGAGAACTGGACGGGTCTGGAAGCACGATCAGGGAACTAGGAGAACATAGACTCCCTCCTTCCCTAGCTCCCCGGGCCACAGGGCTTGGGGGGCCCTGCAGGCGGGCCGTGGGGACCGTTCTCCAGGAAGAGGCTGGTTGCAGTTAAGGAGGCAGAGTGAGGATTCTGTGAAGAGGCCGAACGTGTAGGAGTGTTTATTAGCCTGCCTTCGGGTTCCAGGCTCACGGTGGAAAGGCTGGGGAGGAAGGACAAGGCATTGACGGAGTGTGCGGGGCAGGAGCAGAAAGCGGTGTTGGGGGAGGGTTAGGGAGGGACTTTTACCCTCTGCAGTGCTAAGGTCGGCAGGAGTGACAGAGTGACAGGAACTGGTACTGCTGGCCCTGGCAGCAGGGGTCCGAGCCCACACCTGGCGCCCTGCAGCCCTGGTTCCCACACTTAAGAGTGTAAAGCCATCGTGAGAACTGGTTAAGGCCTGGATGCGGCCCCACCCCAGAGTCTGATCGGCCAGGTCTGGGGTTCACGAGCGCCCAGGCAGTGCACGGAGGGCGTTTCCTCTTTCGTTGCGGAGGACCCACTTGACCACGCAGGCAAGTCCTGCTTATGACAGAAGGAGTCCTTCCTGGGTCAGGAACAAAATCTGCGCAGACCTCCCAGCTTTGAGCAGACACACACACCCACCCCACCGCCCCACCCCGGCTTCCAGCCCGCAACCTCACGTTTGAAAAGGGAACCCTTCCCTGTCGTGTCAGAAAGGAATGGCCTCTCCTTAACATCCCGACCGCGTGGAGCCCCGGGAGGCTGAAGGCTCATGCGGCCCGTGCGCCCTGTGGCCCTTCCTCTCTGGCTCGTTGGGCCTGGGGTCCTTGGTCAGCAGCAGTCGAGAACACCTGTGCATCAGCAACAGCGTGTGCCTCGTTAGTGAAGGCAGCCATTCTCAAGACACAGGAGTTGGGTTGTGTTTAAAACACTCGGTGTAGATCTCATCCACCCCAACAGTATCATTTTCGTTTACCTCTTTGAAGGTTGAGAGTTAACATGAGGGATTTGTTAGAGATCAAAGGAACAGAGGTAACACGACCGGAGCTTAGCACCTGAGAGGGGCCCCTCGCTTTAGCCCTTGTGGCGTCCTTGATCCTGGTTGCCACCGCTCTGGCCCTACTCAGTCCCGAAACTTCTGCCTCTTGCCGCCTCCTCCCCAGTACCTTTAAAAAGAAAGTAAATACAGAAACCACATACCTGAGTCTGTTTGTTGACATGTTTCCATTTCAGTGGGTTTCTGAATCTGGTTGCCATCTACATGCCTGTGACTGCTAATGCGAAGCTTTGTGTTTGGCTCGTGGGGAACCACGAACCGTGACGTGCGCTGGATCATAGTAGGGCCACCGAGGCTCATCTGCAGAGAGTGGGGGCCCTGGAGGAGAGTGGCTTTTCCCAGTGTGAGTCAGTGCTCAGTCAGCCTAGAAAATCCTAGGAAACGTTAAAAGAGGTTTATATCAACATACTGGTGATTTTTGCCTCCAAGGAGGTAAAATAAGATAACGTTTAATATTTTTTATAGCTGGTTTTTATAAACGTGGAGTCAGGCTTCATCTCTCTAAAATGAGAACCTTCGAGAAAGTAGATGAATCAGAGGATTATTTGGGGTAGATGAGAGAGATTTACAGAAGGTCTGAGGGAGGAAGGACCTGGAAACCAAATCAAAATTCTAAGCTGCTTATATTTGTCAAGATAAAAAGTTTCAATTTTGTAGCTTTTAGCCTTTTATACTATTGCCAGATGATCTTTCTGACGTGGATTTGTTGTATTTATTCTTCACTGTTAAAATGATTTTGTGGTTGAAAGCTATTGTCTAGTTAGTGTTCTCGCATTTTTACTGTTTCAGTTAAATTAAAACTATTTATTTGTTTGTTTGTTCGTTTGTCTATTTATTTATTTATTTGGCGAGGCAACCCTTGGTTAACCTCACAGATTGCAAGGATCTTGTCAGCTTACAATCCCTTATTTTTTACTTTTTACACCTACAGCACCTGGTCTTCCTAGGCGGTCTCCCATCCAAGTACTATCCAGGCCCGACCCTGCTTAGCTTCCGAGATCAGACGGGATCGGACTTGTTCAGGGTGGCGTGGCCGTAGACTAAATTAAAACAATTGAAATATTTGGATTCCTCCTTTCGATAGCTGTTGTATGCCTGTTGCTTCACATTACAGCTTTCCTCAGATGTCCTTAAGCAATCGATTAAACAACTTCGGAGGCAGCGAGCGATGCCAGTTGTCTCTGGTAGACTCAGCGACCACGCATTTATTTATTTGCATAATTTGATTGTAAATGGCTGAGGGCCAGGGAGAGCGGCATGTATGTTATGGTATCATGTAATGTTGACAAGTTCAGGCTTCGTAGCAGTCGGAACTCGGTCAGACACGCCTTTCCAGACTTGACGTTTTCTCAGTCATAAAATTAGGGTAGTGTGCCTGCTTCGTGGGGATAGTAAGAGGATTAAGGGGGGACATCTATGTGCGAGCGCACAGTAAGCCCTCAGTGAAGGTAACTGATGCTACCGTCCTGTAAACGTGAAATATACATCTCGGTCTGAGTCAAAAAAGTTTGAAGAAAATCATAGGAACATACACGTATATAATTTGTGATTTTATTCCATTTCATTGAAAATGAACCAGTAGGAAGGAGACTGGCATAGGGGTTAGACTACTCCATTCCGGCTCCAGCCTCATCAGGAATTGGCTTCGTGACATAGATGGGCCACAAGCTTTACTCTCCTTGTTTGTAAAAGAAGATGGTGGACTAAGTCATCTTTAAAACCCTTTCTGCCCTTCAGGTCTGTGAGATGCCGTTCTCGGCTACAGTTTGTACTGACCAGTTTCAGATCTACGTTAGTTAAACTCTTCGAGGGACAAATGTACTCCCTGTGGTAGAATTATATTGGAATTACATATGATAAATGATGTTTGGAGATTTAATCTAATGATTTCATTGGAATAAGTGCTGTCTAGTCCTTTAGAGTAATGATTACTCAATAAAGGCTATCATTTCACTTTATTTGGGGATTAATTTTTAATCACACAGAAAACTCATAATTATTCAGATCATACTTATATTTCTGAAACTAGTATAGTGTATGTATGCCTTGAGATACTGTTGTTCTATATAGATTTTCATAATAAAACCTACTGATTCAAAGAGTCATTCAAATATATAATTATTCCCCAGACTTCATTTTAGCCAGTGTATTAGAACAACTCTGACAGGAAATTATAGGAACAGTGAATGAGTAGCTAATAAATTTTGAGTCGTATTGTGTTTTATTTTTGTATGTATTTTACCTTCAAGTGCCAATGCTAATGAGTAGTGGGAACCGAAAGGAAATCGGCATAGTACAGCGGAAGATCTAGAAGGGAGGTCTGGTCCAGCCTCTCTTTGGAGATGAAAAGACAGAAGCTCAGAAAAGTCAAGTGACTGGCCCAGGTCGCGCAGTCAGTCAGTGGCAGAGCGGACCTATCACCCAAGCCCCAGGCTCTGGCTCCTCTTACTGGTCCTCGCCGCTGCCTCAAGCAGAGGGCCTGGGCATTCGGTGACGTGCACAGCCAGGCAGTGAGAGACCAGGCTTAGTACGTCTGCAGTCCACTGTGAAGCCAGCAGCAAGGACGATGGGAAGGACAGAGCTGAAATAGACTGCCATCGATATGGGGACAGGGACCTTGTTGTTCTAGCCTAGTGCCTTTTACATAATAGTAGCATAGTAAATGTTGAAGGAAGAAACAAACATTTTCTATCAATTTGAGAACATGCAGAATCATTTCTTCTTCCAGGTTCTTGAACACGTGCCTCTGCTGCTGTATGTATTGGCAGCGAAAACGTTAATTCTCTGTCTGGCATTCGCCGGAGTCAAAATATATCAAAGGAAAAGACTGGAAGCAAAACAGCAAAAACTGGAGGTAGAAAAGAAGAAGCAATCAGAGAAGAAAAATAACTAAACAGAAGTCAAAGGTACTGGGACTTCGCAAGTGTGAAGTTACACGTGGGTTAGGATGGGCCGTCAAAGGACGTGACGGTTCAGAGTTCCACACCCCTGAGGCCTGAAGGCTGTGTGAGGGCACATGGCCCCGTCTGTCAGCGAACAGGTCTGGGCAGATTCTGTCCCCTGAACCTTGTCTGCTGGCGAGTCGGGGAACACATGCGTTAGTCCACCCCTCTGCCCAAAGCCTGCGTGGTCCTTATCGGGAGAAGTGGTGCTTCATAGGTATGAGGTCACAGGACTCTTGAGAACTTAATAAAAGCTGCAAGCCTTCTCCTTGGAGAAACACACATACTAGAAACACCTACAGTCATGTGTAAATCTGAGATGGGGCCAGGAAGGAGGTGGGGTCACACGTCGTTTGAAACCCTCACCTGTACCCAAGACTCAGAAATCCTACGGTCTACCTTCAGGATAAAGTCCGACTCCTTGGCACAGCGTAAATCCCTTCCCAGGATGTCCTTACCCCGGTCACATTTGCCCCCTCTGCTGCCACTGCCCCCACTCCTACAGGCCATTTCTTGACCACGATAGACTTTCATGTTTCTTGGCCTTTGCTTGTCAGTCCCCTGGCTCAGGGGGCCATTCCCAGGGACTTCCTACCAGGCCAGAAGTCTTATTTCTCTCGAAGCCCAGTGCCTGTGGCAGTGCACATGAGAGGTCTCCAGAAGTGTGTGTTGGGTTGAGGCCCCAGAAAGTTGTTATTCATCTCCCAACACAGATTGAACGCAGTGAGCAGTTTCCTTAACGATGGTGTGCTGCTCCAACTTCTTCATTTATCAAGGTGAGTTCTGTGCTCGTCCGGAAATCAGAGCATCCCTCTGTGGCAGCAGGGGGTTCTGGATCGGTGGTTCCCAGACCTGGCTGATGATGATAACTGCCTGATCAGGGTGCTTGTTAAAATGCAGATGCCCAGGCTCCGGCCTCTGAGAGGTTCCATTATGTCTGTGAGTGTGTCTGGGCATCAGTTCTTTGAAAACCCATTCTCTGAGCAGCAGGTGGCCGAACGAACCACTGGGCCGGTACCCTCCAAATCCCCGTCCATCCTGAGGGGTGCGAATCCCTGTCATAGTACCTTCAGACTCACTGAGGTTAAAGGCGTCCTTGTTAGTGACATAGCAACACTTCCTGAGTGACTGTCACATTATAGGCATTTCGTATGCTGCAGTGTTAGTCCCCCTGACGGCTCTGTGAGGTCCATTCAGGTGGGGAAAATGGCCCCCACCGTGCGTGGTGCAGAGCCAACTGACGCCCATCAAAACGTGCAGCCCACGGGCCCCGCTGCATCACCGCCTGAGTGCAGGAGGGTGCGCCAGGGTGCTCACTGTCAGGCAGCTGAGGCGTTTGTCAGGCAAGAGAAGTTACTGTCGTGGACCTTGCCTTTAAAAAAACAAAAAGATGTTTTATCGACCGAAACTCAGGAGTAGGCATTTGGGTCAGGGAAGGGGGCACGTCGACATTTAAAAGGGTGAGGGAAGACAGTTTTCACTGAGATGCTGATTTCCTTTCCATTCCAGGCATCATCTCGTGTGGCATCGTTTCGTGTGTGAAGCCGTGGCGAGGAGGAAAAGATGAGCTGTGAGATCATAAACACTCCTTCTCCCCACGGACGTCAAGGGGCCGGTCCGTGAAGTGGGGTGCGTGGCTTAGCGCTGAGCTCAGAACTGGCCAGGGGTTCGTTCCCCTCCTAGGCCGGCAGCTCATCAAAGCCTGCAGCCTTGTTTGGAACCAAAGGGATTTTCGATGGAAGGGAAATTGTGATGCTAAAAATACATTGATGGATAGATACGCTTTGATGGTTTGTTTGTTGAGTGAGTGTCTGAACGCACGTGTCTATGCTGCGCATGTCGACTGCCGTTAGTTTAGCAGACGTTTCCTGCTCGTCCCTGAGGTTCTTCTTTTCTGGATTTTGTACTTTAAATGTCAGCTTGAGAGGACTCCAGCCGAGAGGAAGGAAAGACTTAATCACTGATGTGTCAGAGGATAAATTCCCAACCTATAGCTTTAACTTAAAATGATGTGAATTTTAATATGCTTTCAAAAGAATAGTATTTTCTTTAGTAAAACAAAATACCTGTGAAAAAGAGTGTCTCTGGTCTTTGGAATAGGCCACGTGGAGTGAGTGCGTGTGTGTGTGTGCGTGTGTGCATGCACACACGTGCACGCACATGCGTGTGTATGAGACACACACACCGCCGTGAGAGGAGGGAGTTCCGCAGACCCCCGCCCCTTCCAGCTCTTCCAGGCGACAGGCCCCACATTGTAGCTGCAGCCCACAGAGGACAGGGCCGTGGAAGTGGCATCTGCTGGGGGAGGAAGCCTCGGCCGGCCGCCCTCACGCACCGCGTCCCTCGCTTCTGCTGCCGTCCCGAACACGCCTTTCCTCCTCGTCCCTCCTGCAGGCACCGCCGCCTCGTCACGTGTGTTCACTGAGGCGCAGGGGGCTGCGCACTCATCCGGGGCAGCGTGCGGCGGCTCATTCAGCAGCCGGTTGACACCGTGAAGTGACGGAGGGTGGAACCAATAAAGACAGAAGAGTAAAAAGAGAGGTCCCGGGTTTTTGATGACCATGGATCCATCGTCTCAGCCCTGAACTGCCGCCTCGGTCCTTCTTGTTTTTGGTGGTTGGGTTGGGTACTGTCTGTCGTGTAACTCGGTGGTCAGGCCTCCGCTGCTCATAGCCTGATGTCTTACATCAGCCTTGTCCTCGTTCGTAAAACAAGCTTGGCAATCACTGCCCCACCTCAGACAGGTGCTTGTCTGAACTGAATGAGGGCAAGTATGTGAAAATGGTTCGTATATGGAGAATATTGGGAAATGGAGTGTGTGCCGCCTGGGGGGCAGCGGAGCCCCCTGGTTGTTCGGGCCCACGTGGCTCCATGAACCCAGCTGGGCCTGGACTTTCCTCGGGTGGGCAAGGCCAGGGCCAGCAGGCCTCGGCTCCTTTTGTCCGTTTTCCTCTGTGCCCATTCCAGGGCAGTGCCATTGCAGCGCGTCACCTCGAGAGTCCCCCTGGCCCATGGGAGCGGAGTGGGGATGTGGCGGTCGGTGGGGGCAGGGCCAAAGATGGGGTCTTCCGTCAGCCAGCCTCTTAGAACAGAGCCACCGTATCGTGAGGTCCATTCCAGAGGACCTGCCCACGCGTGCAGGGTGGCTGTCACCCACCTGCATCGTCACCCACCTGCATCGTCACCTGCCATTTCATGCGGTGCACGACACATGGCTGCTCCCCAAGTGATGCCGGGCTGGGCTCACCGTCTTCCTTGTCCACCCACCAGAGCAAGCCTCTTACCGTTAATTCCCTAACCTATCGCAGAGCAAAGTTTCTTTCGATCAAAGTTTCTTAAGATGTGTCTCCTCTTAACTATGCCCGGTGGCAAATAGCAAGAATTTCCCTCAAGGAGCGAAAAGGAGACGAGGTCCGTGACACTATGTCAGACGCGGACACTGCTGGACCCCGGGCCTGGACGGCGATGGCAGGAGCCCCCGCTGGGGGAGGCGCCAGCCACGGTGGAGTGTGGAGCGCTTTGGAGCCCTCGACCCCACTTTACTAGTACTGAATCGAGCCCCAGGGAGGTAAAGTAATTTGTCCAATGTCTCACAGTTAATAAGCTGGAAACGAGATCCCAGCTAGGTCTTCCAATTCCCAAAGCCCAGAGTGTACGTTCCGGTACTTTCCCCAAGTCTCCGCGCTTAGGATAAAGCAGCATCCCTTAATTATGAACGCAGCATCGTGTAACTGCATTAAGCAGTGAAACTGGTCCTTTCCATCTTTCTTTCCTGGCGTCGTCTTTCCCCTGCTTGATTTTCTGATGGTTAAACAAGGCCGCAAAGGAGTAGAGTCCTAAACTTGTATTAGATTGTTTTGGCTTTTAAACAAAAACAGCTCTTGTTGGTTTTATCTTGTTCATCTGATCACCTAAAAACGCTTTTTTTCCCCCCTCACTGCAAAGTAATGTGTCTCTATTCTGCCTCTTGCTCAGTTTTGTGTTGAAATACATTCTTGTGGAGTCCAGTCGGAGGTGGCTGTTACGCCAGCCGGTGTCTGGTTTGATGTCAGAGGTGAGCTGAACGCCCCGCGAATTATGAGGGCGAAAGAGGAAAAGGCTGGGCTTTGGTAGCTAAGCCGAGCATGGCGGGTAAGCACGTGACTGGCCCGAGTGACTCAACACCTGTTTCCTCCTCTGTAAAATGGGCAAATGACAGACCCCACCCAATGGGGCGGTCATGAGGATTAAACGAGCTACTTGTTGGTAGAGCGGCAGCGTGAATAATGGCTCTAAGTGTGAATCTGGATCTGAACAACTCCTTCACACGAGCAAGTTGCACAATCTTTCCGTGCCTCGGTTTACCCCATCTGGAAAGCGGAGGTAAGAGTAGTTCCTACAGCACAGGCTGTGAGGATCGAATGAGTTAAGCACACATAGCTGTTAGTGCTTTTTACTACAGAACTCTGGGTAGGTATCGGAGCAAAACCCTCATGCCCCAAACCCAGGCCACTCCCCCTCGGGCCTGCATAGTGCCAGCACGTCGCAGCCACCAAGGAGGCTGGAGTTTTACTGCTCGCTTTCAAGGTACTTGAATTCTAAAACATACGCGAAACAGGCAGTGAGAAGTCCACACGCACGTCCACACAGAGGGAGTTGTCTCACCGGCTCACTGCCGATGAGGAATGCACTATTCCCCAAGATGACGTTTGTTAGCACCTGTGGCCGGCTGAACCGTGGTCCCCCAGGGCAGCCAGGTCCTCATCCCTGGATCCTATGAGTGTGACCTTATACGGAAACGAATCTTTGCTGATATGATTAAGATGAGAGGATTCTAATTCATTTGGGTGGGACTTAAATGCAATCACAGGCGTCCTCATGAGAGGGGGAAGTAATGTGGCCAGGGAAGCAGAGTTTGGAGGGATGCGGCCACGAGTCAAGGAATTTCAGCCACCCAGTCAGTGCTGCTCTGTTACAGCCGACACAGGAAGCTAGCAGCAGGGGCTGAACCCGCCTGGTTCCCTGGTTCCGAGGGGTTGGCGGTTGGAGGTCCAGTTGATCCCCAGATAAAATGCATAATAACAAAGTGCTGCAGGAGTCCTCTGCTTGGTTGTGAACAGCACCAAATGTCTTTTATCTGACACTATTTCTAAATAATCCTGGGAGATTCAGGAGGGAAGCAGGGCAGGAAGACAGCCAAGAATCCGACGCTTTCTGTGTATGGCCATCAGGAACCTGGCCTCACAATCTTATATATAAGTCTGTTAGGAGTTGGGCAGAAATCTTCATAAGTTATGTTTAATACGCCCCGGTATAATTACCTGTATTGTACAATTACTGCCTGCACATGTATAAATAACAATGAACTTTATGGTATATCTAATAGCAGGCAGGCTTTTTTTCTATGAAAGTGAAAATTACCAACTCATATTCTTACAACCCTTCATGAGCAGTAGCCCCAAACTCAATTAGGGTGCCGTTATGCCAACCACAGGTGGCTCAGCTAGCAAGACCCAGGATGCAACCCCATGGAAGAATCTAATGACTTCCTGTTGGGATTCTTGGAGTTGGGATGAGATGGGGAAGCGGGTTCCATAGACCCCTGTTCATGCCTCCTGTTCACCCACCAAGTCCCTCTTGAACCGGCCACTGTCATTGCCTTCCAGGTTCCTTACTGGGACCGCCAGCTTGCCAGGGAGCGTCTGGATGGGCTCCTACCTCCTCGGACGCTTCTCTCTCACCCTCCGCCACCTTGCTTTCGAGCAATGGGAGAGAGCCCGTTGGGCCACTGTCTGGACCACGTCTCCAGCTGATGGCAAGCTGGCTCCTGTGGATTATTTTGGTGGGCACACTACTTAATTTCAACTTTTCGTTTGATGACCGCACACTTGATTCTCTCTTCCTCAGACCTGAACTTTGACCCCACAACCCTTAGCTTTGCTCACCCCTGCTCACCACCAAGCTCCTTGGAGCTGGACTAGCCCCCGATCCACCGACGTGGCCCTCCAGTCACCTTAACAGGATGGAGTCAGGATCCCGAATTTACCAAGAAGTTTTAATGAAACCTGTAGTAAACCCGAAGTACTTTACCTACGCCCTTAGGAGCGTACGTCCTCACAGCAGCCCCGTGAGGCCGCTGCTGGGGCAGCTTTGGCTGCCGTGGTCCAGAGTCAAGCCTAGGGCAGGTGGTAAAGACCAGGCTGGTCGCGCAGTCTTCCTGCTTGCTGGACGGATCACCCTTAAGAAAATTTTCCAAGATAGTAGTTCTCCCATCTTCGCACTTTGTTAGTTGCTAGTCTCCATTTGCTTGGGTTGATCCTTTCAATCCCTTTGCTCACTAAACCGCTGAGAAGTATATACTGGTAAGAATGGAGAGTGTCCATGGACTGCAGACAAAACTCCTTTCTGTTATTGATGATAAACCACTTCAGGGAAGACCAGGCTGAGTCTAAAGGGCTCAGGTAACTGTAAGGGGCAGGCAGAGAGAGTAGCTCGTGGCCATAGGACTTGGCCACCTCAGGGCAACACACGATGCTCGTTAAGTTCACGGCCGACGGGACGTGGGCCCAGGCCTCAGATCCTCTGTCCTCCTTTGGCTGCATCTCATCCTTCCGCTTTCTGTCTTTCACCACGATGGCGCACTTCCCGTAGGCCTTCTTCGCCACGTGGCAGAACTCGAAGAAGAGGCCGTCTTCTCGTTTGACGCTTAGCTCATCTCTTAGGAACATCCGGTATTTCCAGGGCACCCACCCTTGACTACCACCGGCATGCACAATATACCACGTTGGAGTTTGCATGAAATACCCATCGCTAAAATCGTCCCCAATGACAAGACTTTCGGGGATATCGGTCTCCCCCAAGTACACGGTGTTAAATCCATCATATTGCAGTGTCCTCAGGGTTCTCAAATACTGGAGGCATTGCTTCCTCTTGATGCTATCAAACGTACATTTGATAATGACGTTTCTTAAGAGAGGGTTTGCAAAGTGAGGCATGGTGGTTCCTCACGGGTTTTAAGAGCTGGCACGTCTCCATCTGTGGGACGATGATGTCATAAAGGGCTTTCTTACAGCTGGGCCAGTCCCATAGATGCACTGGGGACACATGTGCAATTCCCTCCTGGCTTATGTGACAGGAGAATAAGGAATGCTATCCAAATACAATACTTCTTGGATGTCACTTCTTCTGCCTGGGACAGTGATGGGCAGTTGTGTTAGTTTGCTAAGGCTGGTTGACTTAAACAACAGAAATTAATTTTTCCACAGTCCTGGAGGCTGGAAGCTCAAGCTCACGTTGTTGGCGGGTCTGGTGTCTCCTGGGGCCTGTCTCCTTGGCTCGCAGATGGCCGCCTTCACCATGTCCTCGCTCGGTCTTTCCTCGGTGTGAGCACACGTTTCTGTTCTAATGGCCTCACCTTGTCAGGATACCTGCCAGGCCTTGGAGGTGACTGAGGGTAGGGACCCAGAAGGTAAGAGGGACAGACAGAGAAGACTCAGTGCCGAGCCAGCAGCCACCCCTGAGGAGACCCCTTCCGTACTGCAGGGAGAGGCCTGGCATCTGGGCGGGACCAGGAAGAGCCTGCCCTGGCCGCGCAGAGGGCTGGTCTCAAGCAAACCATCGCACCATGACCGCCAGAGGACCTCAGAGTGCCTCGCCCCTTCCCGCCTCCCCCGATGCTCTGCCTTGTCGGCTCCCCCTCCTCGGCTGTGGGTTCTGTTGGGGGCTAATGAGGGCCTGGGAGTGAGAACAGGCTTCCTCTCCCTCTGGAGATTTTAGAGAGTGGAGTGATGGAGGAACCCAGCGGCAGTATGGATGTCTCCATGGTGACTGGAGGGCCACTCTTACCTCCCAGGACAGCAGACAAGACCTTGCCAGCCCCGGAAGCAGCCCCGGCCCACACCCCTTCTCAGTGACAGCCTTCCCTCAGCCCTCGGAGTCACCGCTCTCTGCTTTTCTAGAAAACATTTCCGTACTCCTTTCTTCTCCACTGCCCTGGTAACTGATATTCTGAGGTGGAGCACTAACATGTTCAATGCATTTAAATTAATTTTGCATACTCGGGAGATCAGGTTGGTTCCATTCAAGGACAGAAAGCGACAGAGATCTTTTAGCTCGGTGTGTGGGCGTGGCCGCTGTCTTCCACCTGCACCAGTCATGCCCGTCAGGAAAGGGCAGGGACATGTGGAGACTAGTTGCATCCACACCGATCCCACCGAAATGAATAAATAAATAAAACCCCCAAACTGCAACAGTTGTGACACGTGTGAAAAGATGTGTGGGTGCACATGTGCTGGTTTGGGTCTTATTCCACGGGGAACGTCACAGTCCTTTAATCGCTCACAGTGGCCTTGGGCACTGTCGGGCTCCTTACCCGACTCCCCAGGCCGCCCTGGGCATTGGCCGGGCTCTGAGGCCATCCTTCCCGGCCGCTCACTGCGGGCGCCCGTACAGGTCCTATCGCCGACTCTGGAGCCTCCCTGGCGCTGAGCACCTTGAGGCCAAGGTGCAGCCAACCTAGGTGTGCCCCAAAGCCACTGCCTCAGGGGGCCCCGTCACCTTAGTGGGGACCTAGAGTGAGTGAACCGAGGACTCCCCAGGTCTCCAACCCGAGAGCCTCTGTGCGGCCCTCGACTCGGGGACAGCTCTGCCCCATCGCTCTTCTCGGTGGCCTTGTCCTCACCCTCCCTCTGCAGGAGGAATAGCACAGTCTCACCACACACGGGGAGACGGTCTGCCCTCAGGCTTCCTGCCTGGTGTCTCGAATCTCCTCCAAGTCAAGGTCGCGGAGCCTGGCACCCACCTACAGAAGGCACGACAGGAGAGCAAAAGGGCCTTGAACCAGCCCAGACTCACGGCTCAGCCCGCGACGCTGCCGCTGGGCGTGTGCGAGCACGTGCATGCCGGACGTTTGCCGCTCCCCAGCCTCGCTGGTGGGATGACACTCCCGGTGAAACGTGTCTGTCACGTGAGGTCACAGAGCCCCTGCTCTGTCGGCGTTTGGGGGTGATGCTCACGTTTCTGAGCACTTCCTGTGGAACGGCCCTAGACCCTCTCCACAAAGCCTCTTCGTTAATCCTCACTGCGATGCACAGAGCTGGAATGATCGTCGCCCTGTCCAGGAAACAGGAAGAGAGGACAGAGGTGCTCCTTCTCCTCTCCTTGCCAGTCATGAGAAGAATCTCATCACCTCTTTTTTCTACAAAAGAGATTCTTGTTAGAAAATTCTTCTCGTGCTTTCTGGAGCTCAGGAGAGCGGACTGGGATCAAGGGGGCTTCTTCACATTCCCTGCCGCCTCCCCAGAGATGCTTTCCGCAGATGCAAAATGAGAGCGCTGGACCAGGGAAGGGCGAGGTTCATTCACCTAAAATTTGATCTTGTTCTTGTCAAACAAGAAATACATGTGCGAATGGATATAAGAGTGGGAGAGAGTGTGTGTGTGTGTGTGGGAGTGTGTATACGTGCGAGTGTATTAAGGGGTGTATTTACACGTGTGCAGATTCATGAGTGTGTGTGTACATGAGGGATATGAGTGTAAGGGTATGCAAAGGTGTGTGTGCATGTGTGCCTGAGTGTGCATGTGTGCATGCATGTGTGAGTGTGCATGTGTGATTGTGTCTGAGTGTGCATGTTTATGTGTGTCTGAATGTGTGTGCATGTGGGAGCTTGTGAGTGCATGTGTGTGTGAGTGCATGTCGGTGTGTGCATGGGTGTCTGAGTGTGCATGTGTGAGTGTGTGTGCATGTGTGTCTGCACATGCATGTGTGTGTGCATGTGTGTGTGCACATGCATGTGTCAGTGTGTGAGTGCATGTCTGTGTGTTTGTGTCTGTGAGTGTGTGCGTGTGTGTCTGAGTGTGCATGTGTGTCTGAGTGTGTGTGCGTGCATGTGTCTGTGAGTGTGAGTGCATGTCTGTGAGTGTGTTTGTGTCTGTGAGTGTGTGTGCATGTGTGTCTGAGTGTGAGTGTGAGTGTGTGTCTGTGAGTGTTTGTGTCTGTGAGTGTGAGTGCGTGTCTGAGTGTGTTTGTGTCTGTGAGTGTGTGTGCGTGTGTGTCTGAGTGTGCATGCATGTATCTGAGTGTGCATGTGTCTGTGAGTGTGTGTTTGTGTCTGTGAGTGTATGAGTGCGTGTCTGAGTGTGTTTGTGTCTGTGAGTGTGTGCGTGTGTGTCTGAGTATGCATGTGTGTGCAAGTGTGAATGTGTGCGCGCATGTGTCTGAGTGTGCATGCATGCACGTGTCCGGGAGTGTGTGTGTTTGTGCCTGTGAGTGTGTGCGAGTGCATGAGTGTGTTTGTAGGGAGTGTGTGTGCATTTTAAATCCGGGGACGACGGAGGACGTGCAGCTCCGGATGCGCTTCCTGTTTCCTGAGCAGCTGAGCCTTCCCCAGGGGCCCAGAGCGGGG